ATACTTCTACTTAGTATACTAAGTATACTAAGTAGTTTACTTAGTACTTCTACTTCACTGATATTTCCCGGTTTTGAAATTTCTGTGTATTAGGTATTTTCCGGTATAAATATTTTCCTGATTTTTAAATTCCTATAAATTATTTTCCCGTTTTTTATTTTCCTGTGTTTTAAATTCCTACGAAATAATTTCCTGAATTATATTTTCCTGATTTATAATTTACCAGTAAAGTTTTTCAATTGTAATATTTTCCTGGTTATTATTTTCCAACAAATTATTTTTCCTGTTATTTGTTCCCTCGTATTATTTTCCTATATTTTACTTTCCCGTTGTTGTCATTCCTGTAAATAACTTTCCTGGATTTTATAGCCCCTCGTTTTAAATACATTCATCGCTCCGCTCAGAATCTAAAAATGTTATTAAAATAAATATTATATTTAATTATAAAATAAATTTTATTTAACTTTATAATTATTTTTACTTTGTTCAGTGTCACGAGAATTTGAATTATATTATATGAGAATGTTTTATGTTAAAAAATTATTTTGTGTTTAACTTTTAAGCCCCCCGGGGACCAATTGTCCGTGTATGAAATTATGACGGGGACCAATTGTCCGCATGCCGCATTTTTTCGCGGGGACCAATTGTCCGGGGACCGATTGTCCTAGATCCCTGCATCATAACCCAATACCCGCAATTTGCTAGCAATTGCCACTGAAATTGCAACTAATTAAATTTTACAACCGTCGTTCGCTAAACTTTTTGAATATAAAAAATACAATTTTAATATAAGTACCTATCGGCTATCAGCCATTAGGACATCAGCCATCATGTATTATGTAATTCTATTTTTATGAGTTCATAATCAAATAATCAAAAATTATATGGTGATAGCGTGATAACAATGTATTTTAAAATTTGTGTTTTAGTCACAGACACGGACTAAGATATAGCGCTAGGTACTACACTTGTACCTTTGGAAACATTTATGGATCACTGATAATGTTTTCGATACCAGTCCTGTATATCTTAGTCCGTGGTCACAGATATAAAATACTAGATAGCTAACTTGTCTAAATTAGGGTAATCGATGTTGAAGTTAGCCACCCTTAGATCATATACTATATGATCTAAGGCTTACAGTAGCACTGAATTATCGAAGACACGGTGAATAATTTACCGTCGGTAATATTGCACTATTGCAGTACGATTTGCGGGCACATACAGTTCTACTACAGATAGATAAGAATTTAATAGGTGGGAGTTCAAAATTGTAACGATACCAACTTCTGTTTTTTTAAAAATTGATATAAAGAAATATCGTATTATTGCACCTGTAATCACTGTCTGGGTAAAAATGTTATTTTAATAGGGCCGATTTCACCAACACGGCAACACAGTTAATCACGGTTAACGCTTAATCGGCTGATAACAGATATTTAACCGGCCAAATTCGGCCGATTAAAACTCCGGTTAACTTTAATCATGATTAAAGTGTTGGTGAAATCGGCCCTAACCACGAACATAAAATAGTAAGGACTGGCTACTGCTCAAGCAGTGTGATTCGCTTATTGTCGCCATTTCAATAATAATCCGCTAGGGTCGCTACTGTGCGTTCGCCCTATTGCCGCCAATGTAGAAGCGTAATTAGCGTATACAAACAAGTAATACTTCGATTGAACTGCATGATATAATTAATTATATCATGTTGTATAGTACCTATATTATATACTATAGTATGACATTTTATTAATCTTACTTTATAAGTATTTTCACCGATTAAAAATAAAATAAGAGTTGTTATTATAATTAATAGTGATTGAAATTCGGGAATAGGATTATGCAAACATTTTAATTATTCTTTCATACTTTCATAAATCATAATAATGAATACATCAGTAGTCAGTAGTCTGGTGCAGTTATTTTGTTAAGGTTAAGTAATAATGATTTATAATATTTATTAAAAATTTTCATTACAGGTAGGTTCATCAGAAAATATAGTATTGAAATTATAATATATTGTACCTAGAGCATACTTGTTAAAACTAAATGAAATCAAGAATTAAAAAACAAAACTTTCTTAAATATCAAAAAAGCCGTATTTTTTTAAGTTTATAGCAAAATAAAAATATGTTGTACCCAATTCACCTTTTAGGACAGTAAAAATGCTTGGATTTTCTTCACAGTAACTTTTCTGATAGGAAAGTGAATCTATCTTGGGGGGTCAAAGGTAAAAATGTCCAAGTAGTTTTCAAAAGCGACGTGAAAAACATATGAAAAATTAAGGAAAAACGGGAATTTTTACGCAAAATCTATTTTGGTTTTTGGTGTAACTCTAAAACAAATAACCGTAAATGCATGAAATGTTCACTGGTTGTTTATATTTACATTTTCTATACACCATAACATTTTCCAAATATTTTGACTTATTTTGAGCTCTTTACGGACATTTTCAGTTTCCATTTTTTTAGTTTTTTTTTCTATAAATATCAATAAAATTTTATTTGTTGGTTAAAAAAGCTTGAAAATGAATTCAAGGCTCCTAGTTTATTGTTTCAAAGGCAGATGAAAAAAATCTGAAAATCCATAGTCACAATTTATTTTTATGAATATTTAAAGTTCAAATATTGGCAAAATACGTAAAAATTACGAAAATTTGCAAATTATTTTGAGTTAGAAATCCTTAAAAATTTTTTTTTAAACCTAAGATTTAAAAATGTAATTCAAGATTCCTCATAAGTTTGTCTACGTTTATCAGCAAAAAAATATATACCAGAAAGTCAAATTTAATTTTTATGAGCGTTTGAAGTTCATATTCTTACAACATTGGATATTCACTTGGTTTCTCATGTAGCGATTTTGTTATTTTGTTGTAATTCAAAAACAAAAAACTGTAGATACTTGAAAATTTCACTGAATGTTTATATTAGCATTTTCTATACACGATAAAATTTTGAAAATAATTTGACTCTTTTTGAGCTGTTTACGGACATTGTCATTTTTCAATTTTAATAGTTTTTTTTTTTCTATAAATATCAATACAATTTTATTTGTTGGATAAAAAAGCGTGAAAATATAACGCAAGGCTTCTGATATAATGTTACAATAACAGTTGAAAAATATAAAAATACATAGGCATAATTTTTTTTTATTAGCATTTAAATTTTTGTTATACAATATAGTATATACCTGATAGCAAAAAATGTTGATCAAACATTAATAAAAAAATAAATACATTCTTTACCTAAGATTACTATTATTATATAATATATATATTATTATTATCAGGCTACTGCAGGGAAAATATACTTTTTAAGTTTGTTGCATCATTGTACATTTAAATGTGTTCCTGAAATGGTGACCTATCGATTCCATTACCAATTTTTGCATGTGGTCATCGTGATTAATCCTAAACTTGCTTAATAGTTTAAATTCAAATTTGCGATCGGTAGATTTTAAATGCACCCAAAAAAGGAGTATATTTTCTTACTGACAAGTAAACACCACAGAAAATCCATTGGTTATGCCTTATGTTATGTATTTATGTAAGTTGAGTAATCAATACAAACACTTGTGTGAACAATGAATATATTATAATCTATGATCCATAAATATATAAGTACACTACAATACAATAAAAAAGTCACAAAAGAGTGAATTGTACCCAATATTAGTTGAATATGTAACTTATTAATATCTAAAATAATTTATCCAGACCAGAATAAAATTAACTATTTTATTAATGTAGGCATGGGATGATAAAATAAAGGAAGGTAGGTATTAATAAATCAGAAAATAAAACTAGTATGTAATAGTACTGTTGTTATCGGTTGTTGCGATTTTGTTGGGCGAACGCATATGTGGCGCTCATAGCGGAATTTCTCTATTATGGCGACGATAACCGAATCATAATTTTATATGGACGAGAATACGAGATAGCAGAGAGCAGCCCCGTGGCCCTAACTATAATTTATAATAGTACCTATAAATTATTTAACATTTAATATTTTAATTATTAAATAATTTATAATTTGTATACAAAATGGATCATAACTATGCTCTACAAAGTATGTATTTATTTTCCTTTTATTAATTTATCATTTAAATAAAATAATATTTGTTTTCTAGTTCCCCAGGAGGATGTTCAATTAAGTGATGGGGATGATGAAATTGATGGTAAATTTCAAAGTTTAAATTATGAATGATCTTGTTCTCTGATCTCTATAATATTCACTATTGATTGCAATATTATTTATGTTTATATTATAGCAGGTCCAGTAAATTTTAATGTGCCACAGCAAGCTCCTGAAACCTATTTTACTGTGCCTGGGATCCGTCTCAATTCTTTAGTATATATGGATAACATTACTATAAGGTATAAATACTATAAGAATATAAGTCGTAACAACAAAATGTGAGTACTTATCATAGTTTATTACGATTACAGATTTTATGAATTTTAACAAACATAATATTTTAATTAGTTAGGTACTTAGTATGGGAAAATCAAAAGAATAAGGCTGAATTCTACCCATCGACAGCAATAGTCAGTGTGGATATAAATGAGAATTGGTTAAGATCAAATATAAGACACAACCATTTTCCACCTATTGTGGACATTCCAGTGGCCCATTTGAGGAGGAGTATTCGCATTGCAGGCACAACTACTGGAAGACTGTCAAACTCAATCAGACATATCTATAATGATGAAATAGTTGAGTAAGTACAATTTTGTATGATTTATTTTATAAATTAATTTAATTAATTTATTTATTTTTTGTATTACCAGAAATTAAAAAGTAAATACTATGTAGTATGTAATTAGAAAATGAATTATCTTGATAGGTATCTATGTAAAATGTAAATAAATTATAATAACTGTATAAAACCTATTTGTTTTCTTTTTCAGTATACTGAGGACTGGATCCACGTTTTTGATGGATGGTACATTTGCTGCTGCTCCATAATTTAACCGAGAGTGTCAACAGCTATACGTTATAATGGGTATAAAATTCAACACCGTGAGTTATACCTAAAAATAATTATACTCATGTATACAAATATTATAATGTGATAATCATTGCAGCTTACCTTAAACTTTAGGTATCCATCTGTGTATACATTTTATAAATTATAAAATGTTTGTATTTTAGGGATTCCCAATTGCATTTGCTTTGATGTCAAGAAAGACAGCGAGGGCTTACAATGCCTTATTTAAACGGCTATTAGAAATTGAGCCACAGTGGACACCACAAACAATTATTGTAGATTTTGAGAGAGCTGCAATGGTGTCATTGAAAGCAATTTTCAATAACGTTACGATAAGGGGTTGATGGTTCCATAGCTCCCAAGCTCTGTGGAGAAAAGTTGGAGAATTTGGTAAGCTTATAAATATTTTTGATAGTTCAATAAGTATATATTAAATAATCTTAAATGTATTACAGGAATGATAGAAATATGTACCGGGCATCGAAATGCATATGACATCGTACATATGCTAATGGCATTACCACTTTTGCCTGTGGATAAGGTGATGGAAGGCTTTCTTTCTATAAGACAATTTTACACAGAAAATGTTTGAAAATAGTTTGCCAGTGGAAAGCTGTAGAATATTCCAAAGATATTTCCAGTATTACAAATCTACATGGCTCCAAGGTTTGTTAAACCTGAAAAATATTAGAAGAAGATGATATAGGAATATGATGCATTACATTTTTACATTTTAGTTTTACTTAGCATAGTTGTAAAATTGTTTGTCAATTTTAATAACAAAGAACTTTGTTTAAGTAATTGAACAAATTTTTTTAAAATTAAATTTACGTATTTATTTTAATTTATTTAGTTGTTAATAATTTAAATATGAATAGTAAAATACTGACACTGATTGAGAAATCATGAATAACAATTACAGTGTATTTAAAAACATAATGTATACATTATACAGGACCAAATGCAGACATCTTGTCCGTAAACAGTGTTATTTGGCGGACAAACAACGTATTGGAAGTTAGCCATCAACACCTCCGCATGCACATAAGTAATATGCATCATCCAGAACCATGGGTGTTTTTAAGTAATTTATTTTATAATTTTTACTAATTTACCTTGTACATACTGTTTTTAATAAAAACATTTTTGTCTTCATAAATTTAAATTAATTATCACTATAAGGCACCGTAAATGTCTAACAAAAAAATATAATCTACCATGATAGGTTTTATAAAACATTTAAATTTTGCAGAAGGGTTAATTACATACTAAAGTGGTGTATTGGCCGATTACAATTTGGCAATTGATGGTATCCAGGTCAGGGAACCACAACGGCAAATCTGGATAGTTCACCAGCGAAACCTCGATTTGGCTTCTAGGCTGTTAGCTGAAGGGCGTTACACAGTATCTGAATTTTTGGCATGTACTAAACATGTTACCCCAAATTTTGGAGTAGTCAGACCCATGCATACTTCACTTTCCACTTCCACTTCCTGAAATACAACCGGTTGTTGAGAATCGGCAACCAGTTAATGCCAGGGAATTTATTTTAGAAAGATGGCCTATTGTTGATGGAGAAATAAATAGTAAAATTTAATATACCTACTCACTTAGATACAACTATAGGTAATAGTCCTAATATTCTTTTATTTTTAGTATTGCATCTTATTCATGGGCTGGACAATGAAGAAGAAGAAGAAGAAAATATACCACATCCAGTATTACCGGATAATACATATATTAGTCTTGAAGACTTGACCATATTTATTTAAATATTACACTAAAAATATATAATCATTAATCATGCATGCATAATACACATTATTATTAAAATTTATATACTTTAATTAATACTTTGAATTTTCAGTTGAACCAATCATATCTGAAAGCTGTTATATATGCCATTACTCAATGCCCACTGTCATAGCAATACCATGTAGACATCAAGGATTGTGTGCTCCTTGCCATCAAACATACATAAGGATGCCACCATACAGAACAATACCATACTATAGATGCCCTTTATGTAGAGGAGAAATTACAACATATTTCATAATTGTTTGACAAATATAATAATATTCTAATAGCCAAATTTTTCATCTTATTTCACTTTTTCAATATAATTACTTATAATTTATATATGATACAATTTGATGAAGGCACAATAAAATTATTCAAATCTTAGAGACTAGAGTTATCTACACTCAATATTGCAGACAAGATAAAGAAACTAAAAATAAGAATCTTACATTTAAAGTACACCACTACTGTAAGGAAGCGGCTTTAGATATTTTAACAATAAAAGTATGAACATACTACTTAATATGTAGTTTGCATAAATTTAAACTTATAAAATTAGATGTAGTTAGTTGTTACATTGTTACATTTAAAATAAATAGTGGGTAATATTATTTAACTACATAGGTACTGGAAATGTGAAAATGTAAATATTGTAAATACCTCATTACCTAGGACCTAAAGCTAAAGGTGGGCATTTAAATAAAATGAATAATATATGTAACCCAAGTCATGTTAGTTAAGTGAATACAAGGTTGTTAAATTAGAAGTTATTAGTTAGCAAATAAAAAATTTAACTCTCAGTCTAGTCTAAAGGTAATATGAACAAAATATTAACTTAACTCTGTTTAAAAAAAAGTTCTATCTACATTTTTAAGCGGCAGGTGGCTCACATTAAGAGCATTTTGTTTTTTTCTATTCTTTCTATAATATGATATTATTTTATATGCTTAAGAAACAGAAATTTCAATAAATATCATTGTATCATCCGTTACTATTATTATTATTATTATTTTTACCTATAGTATTTGATTAGGTACTATTATTTTATGTATAAAACCATTAAAACCAATAATTTAAAAATATTTTTAACTTTAAAAAGTTAATTATAAAATAATTAACTAGTTAAGTTAAAAATAGGTAAACTAAATATTTAGCTTAACTTAAACTATTTTAACTAGTTAATGCTTACCTTAGCTAAACTATATACTAAATAACACATGATAAACATATATAGATATAACACCGAAATAAACAATGTGTATAGTAGGCACTTACTCTATAACTATCCATATTCGAACGCACCCCAGTATAGACCATAGTATAGGTAAGGAATAATAGTATTCTATAGACTATGCCACTACGGTCTACTGTCTTCGATCATAAACGACAAAAACATTGTATGATCTTAAGATGTTGATGAATGATGGCAGCTGATGGCAACGATTTTACGATATAATTTATAAACAATAGTTATAAATTAAAATAATAGCCGTGGATAATGTACATATTTTGTACCGTGAAAAATATGTAATAAGGGCCACACGTTATAAATTATAATCAATTATATTATCATAATGACATAATAGGTAGGTAATAAATAATTATATTATATTAATATTACATATCGATATCTACAATCTACTTAGGTACCTACTTCGTACATACATCAATATACCTACCTACTTTACTATAATATAATAGTTTTTATAATTGTTTGTGTTTTGAGTTGTAATATAAGTATTAAGTACTAAGTAGGTATTATTATCTAATATGCGTCAGATGTGATGTCTATATTTCCATAATAAAATGTAAAAAAAGGTACTTAGATCACAACAACACTGTTCGACTGTTCCGTAGACATATGTCTATGGACTGTTCTATATAAAATAAAATAGTTTAGTTACTGTCTACGTAGTACCACACGTCGATCAAACAAGATAGGTACATACAGTGGATACCAGATGAAACAGTATTATATTATATAAAAATCGTGACATTTAAACACGCAATAGAGTGCGATTATATAATATATAGTTACCTACGTATAAATGTACTTTGTTTCTCCTTGGTCAAGTAATATGATGATCAATTTTCACTATAAAAGAGTTCTTTTATTAATTATTGAGAAACAAATATAAATAATAATAAACATAGGTACTATTTATAAAAGAAAATCGATTTTTCATAACTAATAACTTTCTACTTTCGAATAATACAAAATACAGGGCCGGATCTAGGGGGGGGGAAGTCGGGGATTTATCCCCGGGCGTGTAATTTTCGAGGGCGTATTTTTAAGGTTTTAAATATTTTATAAATTGAAAATTGAAAATGGACTTTAAAACAAAAGTCAAAACTAAGTACAAAATAATATTTCACAAGAAATGTGTAATATTGGGTATGGGAATAAAATAAAATAATTTTATTTTTAATCGAGATTAGTAATAACTAATAACATTATTTTAAATATTAAAAAGGACAAATATGAAAAAGGTAAAAAATAGATAAAAATATAAAATAAATAAAACCCGTCCGCAATTTACTGTCAGCTGGAGTGAACATGCCTTAGTCTATCATAAATAGATTAATGTACTCTCCGATTAGTGACATAATAAAGTATGGTAAATTACATCATTTTCTTGCATATAATATAATATTATGTAGATAGTTGTTTAAAACCTTTATCTTAAAAATCGCACTATTAATTGTAATTCATTGTTATGTGATTTTAAATTAACAACTATATATTTTTCCAAATAGGTAGGTAGGTACTGCATAAAATTATGTAGGTACTACATAAAATGTTACTTAGGTACTAATGATTTAATTGTTTTCAGATTATTTATTAAATTACGTGTTTGTACCTAGGCTTACAAAAGTCTTTGTATTTAACGATTAATGCCTTTTTATAAACTGTACATTTTTATAAATATCACCATGATGGCCACCAGATAAATGTAACAGAACATAAAATGGAATATAATTTGTCATTTGTGTTTGCTTTTTAAATAGGTACAAGTATACAACTATTAATTTACTTGATAAACTTGATACTACAAAAGTACAACATAATTATAATTAAAACAAAAATACTATCCTATTGATTGTAGCCCAAGACAGATTGAATATTATGTTTTACATATTATAATAAAATAATTGAAAAGGAAATTTATATTCTATTTGGTTTTTTTTTTTATTATTATTATAAACTGTGTTTTTTGTCTAATTTATTTTTATAGTTCAAGATGTCAAACAGACAACCAGGTCCTTATTATTCTGGAAATTTTTAAAATGTAGAATGTAGAATGTAGTTATTTTAGTATATAGGTACATTCAATCCGTAAATGAGAATCCATGATAAATATTTCTTTGTCGTGTTATAATCATTATATTACAATTTTCAGTACATGATATGTCTATGGACTGTTCTATATAAAATAAAATAGTTTAGTTACTGTCTACGTAGTACCACACGTCGATCAAACAAGATAGGTACATACAGTGGACACCAGATGAAACAGTATTATATTATATAAAAATCGTGACATTTAAACACGCAATAGAGTGCGATTATATAATATATAGTTACGTATAAATGTACTTTGTTTCTCCTTGGTCAAGTAATATGATGATCAATTTTCACTATAAAAGAGTTCTTTGATTAATTATTAAGAAACAAATATAAATAATAATAAACATACTATTTATAAAAGAAAATCGATTTTTCATAAATAATAACTTTCTACTTTCGAATAATACAAAATGACAAAATATAATAATAATCAGGGTTCGGGACTTATAGCACTAAAAAGCACTAAAATATGCGCTTATATATGACCCAATAAACTTAAAAATATGCACTAAAAATGAAAATAATATGCACTAAAAAATTAAAAAAAAAATTAAAAATCATTAACAAAAAAGATTTATTTGATATAATATGTATTAATAAATAGGTATATATAATATATTAATTTTTTTATATTTAAAAAAATAAAAAAATTTGTAATTTAAATCTTAGTGCCTTTGTGATTTGCATGAACTATTAGATGTTTTCGAACATTTTCGAACTGGAAGGCTCTTCTATTATCGGCTAGAATACACTTATATGCCGAAAATGAACGTTCCAAGTCCGACGGAAGTAATGGGAGCATACATGAAAAATAACAGATCATTACATGTTAGATCTTCTGCTATTGAACGAAGATCCATAGACTCTCCTCCGGTGATAATTTTACATATTTGTTTGTTAAACCATAACTCAGATAACTACATGGTTTTCGATTTGTTGAGTAGGTATTTATAAATCAAGTGCACGTACTACATTTTTGTGACAGATAGCTACACAAATAGTATTACTACAAAACAAATTTTCGCAATTAATCGTTCAACATTTTAATTAATACATTTTGAACAATTATATTAACCATCAATCATCAAAAATCGTCGAATAAGCAAAAAATATGCAAAAACCTTTAAAATATGCAAAAACCCCCAAAATATGCAAAAATATGCAAAATAAAATTTCATATTTTAATTCTCTGCACCTACTACAAAACGTATTTGTAGATCACTCTGCTATGTTTTACATCACCTATGATGGATATGCAAATGCTATAAGTCCCGAACCCTGATAATAATTAATAACAGTAAAAATACATGTAATATCTACTTAATAGTTAATAGATGCCAGATGGTACCTACCAGTGCCGCAATTAGGATTCTTGGGACCCCGGACACATTCAATGTATGCGGGGCCCTGAAGTATATGTATAATAATATATTTTTTATATTTTAGGTACCTATACAAAAATAAAAAATGATGGTGGTTTTGTTTTTAAAAAAAACAAAATGTTTACAAGCACTTAAAACACCGAAAATCGTGAACTTCGTAAAGCTTTACCATAAAAACTAATAATTTCCGGCAGTTAATTTTTGCATCATAGATATACATCTTAATTGGTCGCAACACATGGGTTACCTACCGAAGAAAAAAAAATTGAAAAATTTGCTTGAGCGCTTAACTAGATTATAAATTTATAACACTAAATTAAAAAAATATTTTAGAGGTTTTAAGAAATTGTCTTCTAATTATCACATTTAATTATTTTATAAAGTGATATTATTGGTACTTGGTAGGTTCAGTTTCTATTTTATAATAGATCAATAGCCAATAGGTTACCTAAATCAAATTTTTTTAAATTTAAATCCCGGTATAGTCGAGTTTTTGGCACGTACCACAAAGGAGACTTATAATAATTCACATTGTAATTTAATAGAATGTCTATACATTTGCGGACCAGTTTCGGATAGTTAAATTTGGCATGCGAACTATGAATGAAATAGAAAACCAGAATAAGTACATTGCTGATCACAAAAATTTCTGTAAAAGTACGTACGATTTAACAAAGACCGATTAGGTACTGAGTATAGTATATAAGTTCTATGGATTTATCTTAGTAAATAATATATTTTATAATAATATCCATGGCTATCGTCAATTATTGTCGACATTCGTCGGCGACGATTAACAATTCTAATAATTTCAGTGAACAAAAAAATAATAAGCGATCAATATATACGGACAGTTTGTTAGCACAAATTCACACATTTCGTTATGGTCAGATTATTTTCATTAAATATTTCGATACTTTCAAGTTTCAGTTCTGAGCAAGATGATGATGGATGAAGATAGCCGTTTTTTCGGCGACGGCGGCACTCTAGCTAGATTTCACCGGAAGAGTCGATGTTTACGCGTAAGTTTGTTTTCATATTATTGCTATTTTAGTATTTTACATTTACTTTAAGACTTAAATTAAATATTTATTGCCCCGGACAATCTGTTAACTGGGTGACGTAGAAGCATTTATAAGTTTAATCCTAAAAGCGCCATGTATAAAATACGTGAGACCGAACAGTCCAAAGTCCGTCTTCGTTTCACTACTCCAAGTTTAATAAGTGCCTTTTTGCATAGGTATACTATAAGCCGGGTATCACCTTAGGTTTTGCGTGAAGTATTTAAAACAATATAATGTTATCAATCTTTATATTTTATATACATAAATACATTATAAACCTCTTGTATTTTATTAGCATACTCACAATTTTTTTAGTGTAGTTTATACCCTATATGGCTAGATATTAAATGTTTTGCAATTATATATTTTACTATAATTATTATTTTCCATTATCATCTAATATAACAATACACTTTAAATTAAATTAGTTGTTATCAAGACAGACAGTCTTAAGACAAACTCTTTTCTGGATGTTATCAAAACGGATTATGCTTAAAAAATTGCACAGTTGTCGTAGCAGTCAGTTGCTAGATCAACCCGTGAGACATTAAATAATTTTTCGAAAAATATAACATGTAATATGTATGGCTCATACAATTAAGAATTTTGTAAATAATTGAATTTAACAATCGGGTAAAAATCACTAGTATCAATTTTATTATATTACGTGAAAAATCACCGGAACAAAGTGCAGACTGCATTTTAAAAATTAAAAAAATATAAAATAATGTTGTAGTAGAAGCTGGAAACTGTAGTTTATTCTAATTTATAATCCAATAATTAATGTAACCGGGAATGTAACTATTAAATTCATCATTGAATGATTATTCCGAGATCACTTTAAGATAAATGCCAAACATATAAATGTAAATCAAATTGAGAATATTTAAAAAACATTTTGTGAAAGGAACAAGATTACTGCTAATATTTAAGTCCTAATTATTATTAACAAATAAATACAAATAATAGATATTTTAATAGCTTTTTACCATCAACATTCAGTGTAAATAATTTCTGATTGACTTATATATAATATGTAAAAATCTTCTATAAAATAATTATTCGTATACAAAAATCCTAACAATTAAATGCAAGGATCTCATAAATTGATCTTACAACATCCTTTAAACATCAAAACTACATTTGTAAATCATTTATACACTACACCTACTAAATAAAAACATTTAGTACAACATTTTAGTTCCCTGTTATGGTGTAGGTACTAATGCAAACAATAAATTATTATTCAAAAACACAATTTCGTATACCTATTATTATTTACTAAATACCTACAACTAAACTAAAAATAAATATATGATTACATTCTGAGTGCCTATAATATAATATTATATATGAAAATTGATTCCTTATTATGAATACTTATCGTTCACACAGACCACAAGAAAAAATAATTTTAAAAATTTAAAAATTGAAGAATACATCGTTGTAAAATTAATCCAGTCATCGATCCGCTCAGAATCTAAAATCTAAAATATATCCGATAAATTTAAAATTAACATATACCTATCATTATTATTATATAATTTCTTATTCAGCAGTATTCGGAGAAAATTATAGACTTGGAATTTTAGAATCTAGGTAGTTGGTATTATAGTCGATACTGTAAATTTGATGAATTTACTGAGTATACCTTTATGTTACCTAAAATCGAATAATCACATTTTTATTTAATGATTCATAAAATACAATAAGCTTTTATAAAAATATACTTGTACTTCTGCAGATATCTATTCACCATCTTAATCAATAGTTAAATTAATAAACAAAAATAGTAATTTAAATAATACCCATATCAATATCATATTATTATAATTTAAATTCAAAATCATTAACTTATAACTATTTTGATTTTTGTCATATAAAATTTCAACAAACAAATATTGTTCCTTAACACGGAACTCATTGATATAAAAAGTTGCATTATATGATCCGTGGATTCATCATATTGACTTTACCTAGTATAATATAATATCTATCATTTATATTCTATGGCAAATCTCATAGTTGTTGCAGACGACACAGTCGATTAAAAATTCTAAAATTTCAATAAGCAAAGCAGATATGAGTAAAAAACTTACTGCGTCCCGTATAATTTTATTTTCATAAATCACAATATTTTAAGTTCTGTATTCTCTGAAGCGTTTCGTCGTCGGCGTCACAGTTCTCACACTTTACGGATTAAGTCGAAAGAGTCGATAATTAAACTATTAAAGTAAGTTTTTTTTCATATTCTTTTGGGGCTTAATTTTACTTTCATTTTTTCTAAATTATATGGTAAAAAATAAATCATATTTCGTTATAAAAAAATAATAAAACATAAAGTATTTTAAATTTGAGTAGAATAACTTTTTATGATCATAACCACATTGCCTACAAATTATTAAGCATTAGTACAGCAGTAGTTTATAGTCATTTTTGATCAAAAAAATTTAAAAGTGTCATCGTGTATTCGTGTATATAAATTATAATAATATACTCTGAGGGCCGTTCTTACAATGTCCGGTAAAGTGTCGGTTAAAGTGGATTACACACTAGGCGATTTGAACGCGCGTCTCCGCGCGTTTTGAACGTCGCGATTAATCGCCCAAAATTAAACATATACTTTTATATGGGCTTATTCACACACGTAAATGAGACGCGCGTTCGGTCGCGTTCGAACGCGCCGAAACGTACTTGTTTAATTTTGAGCGTTCGATCGCGATCTTCAGCTAAAATTAAACAATATTTTTCCAATGCATTTTCAATGCATTTCTATTTTTGATAACACACGGGCGATTCGGACGCCACGATTGACCCGCGTTTATTTACGTTCATTCATAATTTGTCTACGACAGTTATAGTACGTATAGTTAACGAAGTTCGATAATATTACTAAGTTACAGTTGTTGCCACTTAAGTTTACCACGGTAATCTTACTCTGCTAGTTGGTTGTTAATTATTTAGTATTTACATATTTGAACCTACGTATTTTAAAATTGTCAAATATGTTTGACAACGAATTATTTATTAATGAGGTATCGAATGAGGAATCTATATGGAATATAGGTAAGTTCTTTTCATTAACATATTCAATTATTTTAATTTAGAATCTAACTAACTTAGTTATTCTAAGTTTGTATACAGTGTAATACTTACGTAAAACGTCATTCATCATAATAATTAATATTACATATTCAATTTATAGAAAATAAGTTATACCATGATAAGAATGCCAAACATGTAAGCTGGACCAAGGTGGCCAGAGCTTCTATTGCAGATTTCGACGAGCTTGAGGACATTATTAAAAGCAAAAAAAGTAAGCATAAAATATATTATGTTGTAACTTGTAAGTTTTATTTAATATTCAGTGCAAATGACAATATTTTTAATTCATAAATAACATATTAAAAAAAAAAAATTTTTTTTAAATATTATAAATAATAATATAAGTATAGTTATAGGTAATATAAATATGATAGGTACACATTTATATTGCATAATATTATCCTCATTATATTAGCCTATCACTTTGTTTTGCCAACTTAATGCATGAATCGGTTGATTGAAATAGTTGACAAAATAGTCTCTTACGTCTTTTGCAACCGATGTAGAGTTCCCAACCCCTACTTTTTCATTTGCATCCTCCATATCACAAGTCTGTGTATCTTCGGGGCAATATCCATCTCTGCGTCGAACGAAATTGTGCAAAACACAACACGCTTTGGTAATAGCAACTCCAAAGTCTGATTCTACTAATAAGGCCGTATGGAAAACCCTCCATTTGTTAGACAAAATACCGACTTCATCACCTACTATTACGTAAGGTTGAGGAATACCACCATCATCTTCTGGTAAACACTGAGGTTGGGGAAAATTGACTTTTTCGTTGTATAATTTTTTTCCAAATGACGATTTCTTAAAAATGTTGCAATCGCTCTCCTTGCCATACGACCCCACATCTATAATCGTGAAGCAATAGTTTGCATCACAGATTGCCATGAGTATTATGGAGAAGAAATGCTTATAGTTGTAGTATAAGGTACCACTTTTAGGGGGGCATTCTAGTCGAATGTGTTTCCCGTCTACGGCCCCCACACAGTTTGGAAATTGAGTTTTACTATAAAACCCCTCTGCTATGTCTAACCAATCTTGCATTGTCGGCTCTACCATTTCTTTAGGCTGAAGAATTGTCCACAATACTTCACATGTCTCACGTACAATTTTTCCAATTGTTGACACGCCCATTAGGAAATCAAAATGGAGAGCAGAAAAATTAGTTCCAGTTGCCAAATACCTGAATAATTAAATACAGATTATTGCTTTAAAAGTATGTTTTAACGAACAGTATATTATATTGTTATGAAGATGTTTGATTCTTAGTGCTCTATACTTATCAAACATTTTTAGTAGGTACGTCTTATCATCTATCACCCGTTTCATGTATATTATGATAAAATTATTTTAATTATTTACTACGATTTATTTACTATAAGTAAATTTGCATACTTTTATGATAGTAGCTATAGGTTAGATATAAATAAATATAAATTTGTATATATTAAATTATATCAAATTAATTTAAAACTGATTATATGTATAGTTGTATTATTCAATTTTTATTTATTATTTTTATAGTAGCAGAATTACAGAAAAAATGGAAATCTTTAAGGGATAGTTACCGTCGTAAATGCATCACCAAATCTGGGCAAGCAGCAACAAGATCTAAGCCGTACATATATGCCAATGTACTAGAATTTTTAAGACCAACCATGCAAAATCGAACGTAAGTAATCTCAGACAAAATAAATACATTTTTAACTACAAAATCGTTTTTAAATTTTAAATTTTATAAATGTTGTCAAAATTCTAACTTTAAATACTTGTAAAAAGAATTGTGCATAATATATTAATATGTATTTTTAATATTTTTCGGTTACTGTAAAATTAGAAGTCTTTTATAAAATGTTAAGCTTTTTGACCAAAGAATAATTTTTTATTGATATCTATGGAAATAAAAACTAAAAAAATTGGAAACTGAAAATGTCCGTAAACAACTCAAAACAAAACAAAATATTTAGAAAATATTATGGTGTATAGCATATGCTAATATAAACATTCAGTGAAATGTTCATGTATCTATGGTCATTTGTTTTAGAATTACACCAAAAATCAAAATCGATTTTGTCGAAATCCAATTTTGCGTAAATAATACTAAAAATGTGCCTGTTTTCGAACAAACACACACACATATTATAAATATTAAGTAGGCACCTTAAAAGTATATAGAATGAAATGTTATAGTTTTATAGGCATTGCTCGAATTGGGGGAGGGGACGCAAGGGTACGGAGCTCCTCTTTAATTTTTTTATATTTTAAGCGCATTCCTTCTAATTATTTTCTTTAGAACTGGGGGATGGAACGTTTTATCTTGTTGAAATAATATTGTATTTTTTATTTCGTGCCTTCGTGAAGCTGTGTATACCTATTCAATAAGATGTTAAAACTAAATGTATGGTTTTGTTTTTTATGATAATTGATAATAAGTTATTAGTAATTGAAAAAAGACGCGAGGCGTCATTGGGCCTGTCTCATCGTAATTTCCTATCTATTATACGTGTAAAAGTTCCTCACTTCACCCAACGATTTACCAACCTAAACATTTTATTTTTGAAATTTAATTTACGTCTAAATGTGTGATTTTATGAGTTTAAGACGATACAAGTATCAGAATTTTAATATAACGTTTAATTTTTTAAATATTAAAAGAGATATTTTAAAATTTTTAATTTATATTTAAATCGCCATGATGCGCCGTTCAACAAAAATATAATTTTAAAGATTTTTAATATTTAAAAAACTAAAGGTTTATTGTAATTCTGATACTTTTATCGTCTTTAACACATAAAATGACACATTTTTCCGAAAATTAAATTGTGTTAATAATGTGTAACATTAATTTTTATTTTAATAAATGAGAAGTAAAAGAATATTTATTGATTGTTGGTAAATGTTATTGGTATTGGACATTGGTGTATTATTTATTTTCTAATGTTGTTGTTGGTGGGTGGTGGTGTGGTAGGTGGGTATCCCCACGGGTTAGGTTAAGATTAATCATTGTCAGGAACGCTAATTTTTTTTAAGTTTTGGACCCCCTTTCTTTTATTTTTTCCAATTCGAGCACTGTATATTTATATATATTAGTATTAAACATAATCCAATTAACTAAATTATGAATTATATAAAATTATATTTTTAAAGGACTGAAAGTAATATACAGTCAAGCGAAGACGAGGTATCTGTGGGTGAAAGTGGGGAGACTGAAGATGTGGATTTAGTTGTTGGGAACAATATTACTGCAGAAGAGATCATGGCCAATTCCGATGCAGAGGAGCCATGTGCACGACCACCAAATAAAAAATTGAAAAAAAATCCAAAGAAGACTGCGACATCGAATTTTGGATCCGCTAACGCTAACCGACTAATAACAGATTTTATTACCTGCAGGATTATACGGGTTATGTGTAGGTTAAATTTAAATTTCAAAAATTATTAATTAATATATAATTTATTGGTATATAGTATTAAATAAATTAATATAATTATTAATAATAATAAATTAATTTATAAATTATAAAAATACAAACGAACAAACGAAAAACGATTCTGAGCGAGCAAAGACAGTTATAAATAATGTTGTGATTAAAGTAATTTATTTTACTATTATGCATTTGTACAAGAGTAGGTAAAAGCAATTTTTGCCCAAAAATTACATTTGAAAGTGTCATCGTGTAGGTATATAAATTATAATGATATACACTAAAAGTTTCATGAATCCACGAATTTCTACAATTTTTAAATTGCAACAAAATATCTAAAATCGCTATTCTTTGTTTTAATAAGTAATTTCTTCCAGAAATCAAGAAATTTTTTTATAAAAAAAATCGTGCCTATGGATCTTTATTGTTTCTCAACTGCTATTATAAATAGGTACTGTAACGTGCCAACTACTTCAACTCAATATTGATGGTATTTTGAATTAAAATGACAAGTTGTTGGTATAATGATAGTTTATTTGTATTTATTTAACACAAAAAATATTCTAAGTCCAAATAATTAAATTATAAAATTGTGGTAAACGGGTTGTGACTTAGTATCGACTTTGTGGCTGTTCTGCTATAGTGCTCGTCGTCTTGGCTGGTGTTCGTCTGATGGACACTTGTCCATCGACGTATTTCGTCGGTTTTTCTATTAGATCCCTCCTATGGCGTTTTTAGTATAAAAAATGGTACATAGCTGCGTATACCTGACGTCATTTCGGCGTCCTCTACGAAATAATGTTAATTGGGATTATATATTTATATGTTTTCAAAGTTATCTATTTTTGTTATTTACGGCTTTTTCGTCTTTCCTAGAACATGGATAATGCGCGCGTATACCTATTGCGCTCTACTATTAATTAGTTCTGTACTCTTATCGATGTGGCTGCCCGGACGCTTATATTATTACTATTATCGGGTTGCGTGCCCTCTGCACTCTGCAGCATTTATATCTGTTATTGAATATAATATATTATATTATAAGCGTATTATACTTAATACAGCATAATATAATATAATATTTTATATATTATTACTATTATAATATGTACGTAGTCACAGCCCGTTACAATACTTACGAGGAAACTTTTATTACATTTTCATATTATGAGTAGGTAAACAAAGACATTTTTGTATGAATATCTTACAACAAAATATTTTGCAAATTGACAAGATTATGATAAATTTTGTAGAAATGCCTATACAAAAAACCTGCCTATATATTTCTAATTTTTTTTAACTGATATTATATATCAACTTACGAGGAACTTAAAATTATTTTTAAGCTTTCTGACCCAACGAATAAAATTGTATTGATATTTATAGAATACAGAACTAAAAACATTTCATAATTCAAATGTATATAAATCACTGAAAACGAGTCAAAATATTTTGAAAATTTTATGATGTATAGAAAATGATAGCTTAAAAATTCGATGGACATTTTAAATATCGACGGTTAATAGTTGTTGAATAACAACAAAATAAAAACATTTTTTTACGAGATTCATATATACATCATTGTAAAATCAAAACATTCATTGCTCCCGTAGTCGGCTCTAAAAAACAAACTAACACATAATAGTTAAGTAGGTATAATACAGATTAAACATAATACATATAAAATATAATATCTGTAACGCTTAGGTCATAAGAATATTGTTGAACATTTTACTGCAGGCTGCGTATTATTTCAGAAATGGTATTTAACTCGTCAGTGAAGATTTGTCAACTGGGAATAATATATCATAAGCATACTGAAATGTGTAACGTTGCAGTATTTCGAAGACTAAGTTTTATAGCAGATTCTGATTCGGACACGGGGTATGTATTTTATTATTTTTCTGCAGTAGGTTTCTTTTTATTATAGTTAATCGATCAGGGTTGTACTGCCCGAAACTTTTCAATTATTTGTATTGTAACTATACTGGTATAACACTATTCTGGCTATCAATAAAGTCGTGATAAAAATTAGGAAATTGGTCAGGTATGATATTTTTTGGTATGTAGGTACTAATTCTTTTGAGTAGATAATTCGTTCAATTATTTAAATATTTTCACCGATAATCAAGTACGATGACTTGTAGGTAACTAGAGACTGAGTGAATAGGAATTAGGAAGTGTATGATGTAAGGAAGATAAGGAAAGAGGTCATTAGGATTTCACAAGGCTGGGCATTAACGAGTTAATAAGTTAAAAGTTAAGTTAATTTTAACTTATTAACTTAACTTACTAGTTCGTTTCTCATTTACAACTGCGTTAACTTAAAATCAACTTCTACTTTTTTAATATTACCAATTAAGTTAATTTTGAATTTTCGTTTTTATCTAGAATATATTTAAGTCTATAACGGTTCGTCGATTTAAAATTCGTAGAATATTAGAAAATATTGTTGAAAAAAAAGAAGATATTTTCGTAATAATTTTTTTTTTTATTAACTTATAACTTATTAATTGAAGTTAAGTTAACACAATTTAATAACTTAACTTTAAACTTAATTGATGTATTAAAAATTTATATTAACTTAACTTCGAATTTAATTGAACAAAAAATATTTAACTTAACTTAACTGAGTTAAAAAAAATCATTAACTTGCCCAGCCTTGGGATTTCAGAGTGTTTGGCGTATGAAAGGGAAATGCGAAAAAGAAATGTTAGGTTAGGGTAGGTAAGTAGAGTGAGAGTAGCAGATATGAGAATGTCAAGTTGAGTGTGAAAGGGACAAAAGAGGATAGAATAAGATATTAATGAATTAAATGTAGTGTAGGAGTGACATATAATATATTTAAGTGTAAACAAGAGAGACTAGGTTGAGGTGGTTCGGTCACTGTATGATAAGAGGTAGTGAGAGAAGCTAACAGATGTAGGTAAATGTAGGGGGAAAGTGAGAGGTGAGAAGACTGAAGAAGTGATGGGTAGAACAGATGATATTATGGAGGTGCAGGAAAAGAGGGTGGCTGAACCTGTATAGTTGTGAGAAGGGGGAAGAAAAAGTGTGAAGGTAGAATAGTTAGGTTGACAATACCGAATACGTAGGAAAGGATCTCGAATTGCAAAAGCCACTCGACTCTTTGGCTGAAACTACCGGCGCGCGGTAGGTTTACAACCTAGACTATGGGATAGAATAAAAAGATCGGTTGGTTGCCGGTTGGGATGTCAGTGTTTCCATCTTTGACCCACGCGAGGTAACATCATAGGCGCTATTGGGGGATGAGGGGGGGGTCTAGGGGCGGGCTTATAGCCTAATAAAAAAATTATGCGGATCTGTATTGATTTCATGAAGTAGCCAACGCGTACTACGTAGCGAAGTACGTTGGCTACTCTATGACAATTAGTGTAAATAATTAAAATTTAAAATGTTTATAAATAATTCAACTAATTCAAAGACACACAAAAAAAATAATATTTAATGTCTACTAAAAAAATTACAATATATATATATCTTAATAATTAATAAACAGTTGGGCAACTATTGCTTAAATGCCGGTTGGAGACTGTAGTCATCACCAGTTTATATTAAACGAAAAGTAAACGTGAGGGCGTTGCCCTCACACCACCATAAAAATATTAATTTGAAAATATAAAAACTATAAAATAAAAGAAATTTCTTCTTTTCAAGTTTAATTCTTCACAATAATATACTGTCTATACCTAATTAAAAAACAAAAATTAAGAGTTAAGTTGAATTTTAAAAAAGTTTATTAATATTACGAAACAATTGCATAATTTATTTATTTTTTTTGGGTCAGAGATGGAAATAAATAGTGCACTAAAAATATGATGTCCTCTTAAGTGTTATCAAGTTAAGAGGGGGGGTTCACACTACACCGTGTCGTGTGAACCCTCCTTAAGAAGCTGTTAATTGTTGATATTTAACATTAACTGTGGTAGTGGTATGATTGGAAGTTAAAGTAATAAGTAGGGCTGTGAATTGAATGCACTAAACAATTTTTAAATATGCACTAAAATTATGAATGCTATGAAATTAAATGCTCTATAAAAAAGCCATTATTAAAAACCATTGAAATTAATAAATACAAATTATAAATGGCTTACAAAAAAAAATTCTTTATTCACATACTAGATAAGTATCATTATTTTTCTAATTTGTAAAAAATTATGAATGTATATTATAGCCAATTTAAACCTGATTTACAGATAAATACAATTTTTGTTTTAAGAAAATAATCATAATTAAAAAACATCATAAAAACTTTCAATTAAAAAAAGCCTTAACCCAAAATATAGACATGGGATTTTGTATTTGTACAAAAAAAATAAATGTTTAATTGTTACATATTACTAGTTAGGTGGCCAAGAAAACATGTAATTACTTACCTAACCCATTAAATTATATGCTAAATAAGATTTCCTATTTAAACTATAAATAAACCAAAACAAATTTTGGCCGTATCCATTATCTTATAGTTTTTTATACTGTGTATCAATACTATCTATACTTGTACCTCCACTAATTTGACAAGACGACCATTCTTTAGAAATTTCAAAGTCTCGACTCTTAAATGTTTTTAAGCAACTAACTTCAAAGCAAGTTTTACATCCCAATAATCCATTTTTACAAAAAAGCCATGTATGTTTTTCTTTTTTTTGTGCCCATTGTTCAGCAGACCAATCTAAAGGCCACAACACTCCAGCAACTTCTGAATTCTCTGTTATAATTAGTTTTAAACTTGTCTGTAAAAAAAAAAAAGTATTATTAAGTAAAATATTTGAAATATTAGTTTTTTTGCTGTTTATTTTACAAAAGTAAACAAATAATAATAAAATCTTAATTTTTATTTGAATAAATCATAGGTAAAAACTTTAAATTTTTCATATTTTTTCTTAACTGATTTGTTTAAATTTATCGTAAGTTCCTAACAGCTATTGATAGCCACCACGGACTAAGATATAAAATATACATATATATATTTCCCTAAAAGTAGTTAAGATATTAT